CGCCAGCCGAAGTGAGCCGAGCGGAGCCGAAGTTAGCTGAGTCCCAGCATCCTGGTAGCTATGCAACGCGAGTCAACAGCGGTGACATCACCAAGGTGCACCGCGGTTGCTAGGCAGCGTGGGTAAACAGTAGTTGCGAGAGACGACAGTAGTAACAGCAGTACACAGCGTTACTAGCACGATGGCACCAGACAACAGGGTGCCTATTACATGGCCGTTTTCTGTATTGTCCGAACGAGGCTACATAAGGAGCAGCGAAGGCTATTCACAGTTAGTCCTCGAGCTACCTCCGAGTTAGTTCCGAGTTAGCCAGCAACCAGTCAGTTGTATTCTGGCATTTGGAGTGTAGTATTTGTGATACTGCAGATAGCAGTAATTGTGAATCTGTAATTTGAGTGATTGTAAGTGCGAATGTGAAATAAAATTCGCTATATCAAATATGGCGTGAAGTTATTTGTCGCGTTATATGCACAAATACGCGATAATATAATATGCCACACAGATGATGAAGTGCTAATTGCAGATGAATGAATGAATGCATAAAGGGTAGGCCTGGACTTGCCCTTGCACCATGACCTTCAGTGATCAATCCTAATTGCAGGTAGTGATAATTTACATAGATTATTACATTAGTTCTTGCTTGGCTGTCAGAAATGTGATATGAAAATTTCAGTTAGTAAAACATAGACCTTAACAGTATGTGAAAACTTCTCCAATGTAAGGTGGAGGTACAAGGTAAAATGGTTGAAGATGTAATGAGCTGTAAGTAATTATGAATGGAAATAGCAGGCAATAGAGCACTGTAATCAGAAACAAAGCATCTAGATATAAATGCCATGTGGCAGGTGGCACATTGCAACTTCGTTTTTTGAAGTAACTTTTATAATAAAAATAATAAATTTTCTTTGCGTAATAATTCCAGATGCATGGATATGAGATAACTGGGAATTTACTGCATTTGACAAACTATTGTTGATTGCAGGTGCAAGGTAAAGGGCTTGAACTATATCGAAGAAGAGGTAATGATGGCATCAAATGTTCATATCGGTGGTACAAGCGATGGTGTGACCGGTTTCATGTAGTGCTGCGACATGAAGGAGATGATGCAATGTTAGAATGGGCTCTGACACAGCTAGAGCTGGGACACAGTGTCAGTCACAATGATCTGCAAGTGCATGCACTCAGTCTGGCAGCAGACAACACATTCAAGGTAGGAGGAAGGTCAAGACATTATTGAGTGAGAAGCAAACTGATTATGGATATAAATATTATCTTGTTTATAGTTGGGATATTTACCAAAATCCAACACAAATTGAAATCTTAGACATTTCCATAACCCATTCCTTACAAGTCCCATAATTTCACGGATTGAAGTTTACTGCTTGTTGTTGGCATTCCCAATAAGTGACAGACTCTTGCAGCTGTGCATAGAAATTATATGTTACAGACATCACTCAAAAGTAGAGAAACTTGTATAGCTTGTCAAAGTTGGAAAGAGTCGAAACATACAGTAACTGTTGATTGTTCTTCACTTATTCTCTTCCATTTTTTTGTTTTGAATGTAGTAAGTTCAGAATTCTGGTTTCAAGGAAATATGTTTGGGCTAACATGCAAAATTCTAATATGAGCAGTGAATCTGTTAAGTGTATAAGCTTAAGATGGAATGGAGAAGTTTTGAGAAGACTTTGACGTATTAAACCTTTGCATTTGCTTCACAAGACTCTTCTTCATTCCAGTCCTCTCAATTTTTGGCAGTGTTTTAGTTGCATTTGTTTCTATGTTAGCAGTTACATAAATATAAGAATATATGTGCAGTTATTATGCCAGTTGCTACTTTCATTACTTTTGGGTTTCATATATTGTAAAACATTCCCTATGGTGCTCAGTATAGGGAATGGCTATGGGCTGGACGACTGAGGGGTCAGACTTCGAGTCCCAGTAGGATCAAGAATTTTCACTTCTCAATCTTATCCAGACTGGTCATGGAGTCCACCCAACCTCCTATTCGGTGGGTACCTGTGGTAAAGCAGCCAGGGAATGAAACTGACCGCTCACCTCCTACTAGTGCTGAGGTCAAGAAAATGTGGGTCTATATATCCACTCCTCCATACACCTTCATGGAATAATGCTTAATTAGTTAAGCTCAGGGATAACTACCTTTTTACCCTAGGGTGCACCCCAACGTACAGGCTAAAAATTTTATAAAAAGATGTGATAACAGTGCTACACATTCATGTTGTATACAGTATAATCTATTTATGGATGAATATTGACCAAATTTTTCTACCTTGTAACTCTTTCATTAATACAGTCACCATTCAGTAGAGTCAAAATACAATTTACAAACATGATCACAGTAACCAGTTCTTAGTGTACTTAATTTTCTGCCATAAAACAGGAATGTAACATTTAGGCACTGAGCTAAATAAAACTTAACGGTTTGATTAATGTGGATGGAAACTATACAAGCAGAATAGTAAGGAGAACTGTAAACGTTGAATGGGGATTCCACTGTAATGAATGTATAAGAGGTGGGCCTTCTCGGCCCTTGCACCCCAACCTACAGTGGTCTATTGTGCTTCAAGAAGTTGAAGTTTTGTTCTGAAATATAATTGAGACAGTGATATCTGGTTCTGAGCCACGAACTTCTGGCATTCCACTGTAAATGTTCTGTGTGTTGTGTTGAATTTTACTAGGACCCTGGATAAAAGATTAAAATATTTTATGAATAGAACTAGTAACATTTCCACAATCTGAAAGAGAGATGTGAATAAATGGAACAGAAATTGAGAATTTCAGAAGCTTTCATGCAGATTTAAAAATTTGTTTCAGTGGATGAACCCATGTTAAGAGACCAAGGTGACATGAATTAATCAGTAATCCTAAATAAATATCCTGATCTACATTTTCTGTGATTTTTTTCCACTTTCTCTTTGTGAATATTGGTATGAGACAGGACCTCACATTTCATTCAAAATCCTAATCTGCTCACCATTCATAATCATCTTCCAGTCTAATATTGTATATGTTATATCATTATATTGACTGGTTATGGGTTGGGTGGCAGGGGTTTTAATCCTGGTAGGGACAGAGTTTTTTCATTTCCCAGTGTCCAGTGGTTATTGAGGGTACTTCATGCATAGGTAAAGCAGTTGGGGCATGAAACTGATCACTCACTTCCATCTGGTGCTGTGATTAAGAATGCTTGGAGATCTATCTCCACTCACCCACATGTCTTAAATTAAGCACAGTGGCAACTGACCTTTTGTCCTTACTTGGAACATCCTTAAGTGATTTAGGAACCACTCAACATCTAAATAATTATGCAAATGTTTGTAGCAATGAGGTTTTGGATTGTGCAACAGGCTTCATCTGGCTGGGCAATCCGGTTTTGCAAGCGCCATCCTGAGTTACTTCAACACAGCCCTACCCTGGACACTGTGTTGCCTGGCTTGCTTCTTCAGAAAGTTGAAAAATTCCGTTCTGATGTGCAGCAGACTATCCAGGATATGAACCTCACTCTGGGTTGTGTTGGCAACATGGATGAGCTGTACCTCAGCTTCTCAACTCTCGTATCAGGTAGGATAATCATGGAGGCTAAGAAACATGCAGTTTGTAATCATAATCATCATTGTCAATAACCATTTTCACTTGTCATCCCGTTCAAAGCCATTAACACTATAAATCTGGCTGTAGTACACATACCATGCTTACCACTGTAAATTTGACAATATACATTAAAAAAATTGCCTGCGGTATTGACATTGAATTTCAGTGTTAACAGCCCAAAGCTTGTAGTTTTATGATTCAGCAGTAGAGGTGTCTCCATGATAGCAATGGGAAGTGGTGTCACCTACTGTTAGGTGTTACACTTCATATGCATAAGTTTATGTATTCTTTTTCTTTATCAGTGACTGCCCTCCTTTGGTCTCATGTTGAAACACAAGTTGAGGATGAAGGAGAGGTCATGTACTATTCTAAGAATTGGTTGAATTATATACATTCATAGTTTAAATGTGTAATACCTACCACATCGATATTGGTCTGTATGTGAAAATGAATAACATTAACCTTTAAACGCCGGACTTCTGAAATAGTGGTAAGCTTGAGCTGGCCGGAGTTTATTTAAATGCCCGCTGCTGGTGTGCGTTTAAATGCCCATTGGTACTCTGCCTTTAAATGTCCGTTCCTGTTAGTGCGCCTAAACAATTTTAAGCATTGTGTTTAAAAATGCTGTATCTAACTCAATTTTTATGATAAATGGATGGAATTAATTTTGTTTGTATCAGCAAAGAACATACTGTCGCATATTATAACGGAAGATTTGAAATTTTTTATACAAATTATACTCCATTTTCAATTTTTTGTACTGCAAAAATGATTTCCCAGTTCTTCACAGAGTTGTTCTGCATTACAAATTCATTTCTGTTTGTAACACTTGACAAATTTTAGCAGTCCCTGATGTCATAAAACAGATGGAAGCAATAAAATCATTTGGCCTTCTGCTAGCACTGCTTACACTCTTCGGATTTTCGAATCTTTTGACTGAAGGTCAGAAGAATGAAAGAATGGCTATTCAAGAGAAAGCTAGAGGGGTCCCTTCTTCAGTTCTAAGACCTTCCGTTATAGCTGCAAAAGCTTATTGCCCTTTCTATGGGCCTGAACAGACAGCTGCATCGCGGCTGAGATTCAGAGCGCGGTCTGTTTTCTGTGCGTGCTTAGTGAAATCGAATACTGTAGTTTTATTTCAGCCTAGATATACATCAAGCAGATAACAACAAAAAAGTTATGTACCTCGAATTTTACTGTATATTTTTAACACAATCTGCAGAATCTGCAATAAAAGTACTGGCTCGTGGATGAGTTTGGGCATAACTCATACGTATACTCTTTTTGTTGTTGTTCACATAGGTATCATTTTAATTTTTCTATTAGGGCTTTACTCAAGTCTGTCTGGTAATTACTACATTTAAAAATAAATATTTAGGACTGTGCATTCGCTTCTACTAGCGTCGTGTGCGCGTGCTTCCCCTAGCGGAGTTTAAATGCCCAAGTGGCCAAAACTGGGTACTTTGGCCACGACGACCTTACTCACCACTGGCACAAACGGGGCACTTCGGCACTTAAACGTTAATTTTTTATCCTGCATGTCATTGCAGTGTTTTCCTTACATATGATTGAAAATGTATCAATTTATTTGCCAGAATTGACACAACTGTCAATCTTTTATGTTCCCTTCTAGATCCCCAACTAAATGAGAAAGGGGTATTTGATTGACACCAGCTCTATAGTGCTAATACTCTCTTTTGGCTTCACAATACATTTCTTCTTGTATTTGTCTCCAGCTTATTCCCATTCTATGTTTTCCTCTTCATTCAGTTAACTCTGACCATCCCATAGCTCATATGGTTAGATGTTAGTTTCTTACCACAGAGGCCCAGGTTCAATCCCAGGTGTTTTCATGTTAGGTTTGTGAACGAAATGATAGTGACTCTGAATTCCTCCGATCTTCCATTCCAGTCAGCATTCCACCATTCTCCACACTCTTATGTCACTGCCTCTCGATATGTACAATAACCTTGATCAGGAAGCTCATTTTCACATCTTCAGTCTTTAAGATGTGGATTTAACACTGACCCAGTGCATAGTTGCTTACAGAATAAGGGAGTTTCTTTTCTTTTTTAACAAACTGTCATCTCTGTTTTCCCAGAGCAGCTGCTGCTCAATTTCCTCGTCTATTCCTTCTTTATTCTGCATGACACCCTTTCCTGTCTTGTTGCTTCCATTTTTGTCTTAGTCTTCCATGTTGGTGGTTCTCTTTTATTTTTCATGTTCAAGAAATTCTTTGGGATTCTGTCTTCATTCTTTCTTAAAATGTGCACTTACCATCTTATCTTATTCGGTTAGATTTGGACATAACAGTTGAAGAAATGGTAAGGAGAAAGATGATGGACCAGTAGGCTATCACTGGCTTTACAGTTGTACCAAGAATCATGTGGGAGAGAAGATAAATACCAGATGGATTCTAGAATATAACACTGTGTAGCCTGTTGAAAGTCAAGTTGGCTCTCAGTGGATTATGTGATGTTATATCCCAGAAGATAGAACTCACAAGAAACCTTGCAAAGCACACTATTAAAATGTTACACAGTGACAGCAGTGCCCACTGTGACTTATGCGAGTTAAAATGCGTCAATTAATTGATCAAATGAAAGGAAAATTTAGTCAGCTCATATACAGTTTCTTCGTTTGGTAGTTGGTTACACGCCTCTAGATCAAATAGTGTAAATATATGTTTACAACTAAAAATATTTAATTTAATTGGGAGAATAGAAAGGCCAGAGGAAAGCTGGTATGAATGTATTTTAAGAAGGAAGAGTGACAGACTCCCAAAAATGTTACTGAATTGTAAACATAGAAGATACAGAAATATTGGACAACCCATGACTAGGTGGGATGATTTATTTTCTTGAAGTTGGAACAGGCTAATGGTCTTATAACTGTAAAGTAAAAGAAAAGAAGATAGAACTCTTCATAGCCATCACTGTGAGAACCTCAGATCCCACAAAAAGAATACATAATCAATGTAGAAAAGGCCTGATCATTGAAATTTCTACAGTAATGAAGAAGGAACAATGGAAAATGATGCATGGTAGAGAATAAGGCATCTATGGCCAAGATTACAAAAATCTGGTCATCAGCACATATAAATTTTAAATGTGGGAACTTCATGTTGGAATTTTACAGTTCAGAATTGTGTATGTCTAATGAAAAAATGAAAATGATTGCAGAAAGATAAAGTAATATGAAATATGATAAGGATGTAGTATTTCTGTTGAGAACTCCATCTTGAAAGAGTAAAATATTTGACAGTAATTGCTGTGATTTTTTTTTCTATTGGTGAGGTTCAAGCACAACTGCAAAGCGCCAACTTCTTGTACGACGGTCAGAGATGGAGAACTGTCATGCTACAATTGTGCTGGCATGCGTGGCAGATGGGAATATATTGCCACCTGCAGTCATTTTGAAGGTAATGTTACAGGGGTCTTATTCTGATACAGCGCACGTCCCTGCTTTAGAGTTAGTCTTCTTTTATTTAAATCATCTTCATATGGATCTCTTTCTGCTCATCCTCCTATAGTCATTTCTTTCAGTTCTTTTGAATTTTTTGGACTTAGGAATGTAGGAGATACTACACCTCTACCTGATTTTGATCCTGTATTAAGCAGTATGTTCCCTCAGCAGTAATCTTGAATTCTGTCTGGAAGTATTGCTTGTTCCCATCTGCCCCATTAAGGAGTTTTTTTTATCTTAATTTTGAGATGATGCAAAGAATGATCTCAAGTCCTTGTTTATTTTTTGCCATTTCTCTCTTCACCTGTACCAGTGTCCCCTCTACATGCTGAGCACCACTATATCATCCACACCTTAAACATTTTATCTATGTGTGAATTGCCATATTGATGTCTGACATGACGTGTTGCTTCATGGCCTGTGGTTATATTTGTTGTTAGCTTTAAGACTTTGTATTATTTAAAATTCCTGTCCCACTTGTAGGAGTCTTTCCTCTCTTATGGCTCCAGCATGATTTCCAGCTTACATATGTTTAGGGCAAGCTCAGAAATAAAGACTGAGGGGCTTTCCTCACTTCTTTCTAAGTATGTTGCCCTGTGTGGAACTCAGATGACATAAATACTCCAGTGGTCAGATTACAATTGATTTGGTTCTGCTGCTTTTACTTTTCATTCAGAATTCCTGCATTGCAGTCATTTGTGTCAGCTGTGAGTTGTACCTGTGGGACCATACGACCAGTTCTTGAAATTTGTTAATGAGCTTTGGATTATTTTATGGGTAGTGACTCAGTTCATCTGTTGTGGAAGGTACAGTAAAGCATCTTTCTGCAACTTAAATATGAACTTCTTTATTTATAACTGAACTGTTCTGAGCCATTCAGTTGATAGGAAGAAAGATGGAATGCCAAATGTGTATTGAATGAATTTGTAAGCTGTTGCTAGACAGCAGTATTTCACATCTTTCAGGAATGTCTACTGAAATGCAACTGAACTGTAAGCAACTCTTTTTCAAGTATAATAAAGGGCTTGGGTGCATTTTAGCAAGTTAAGCCAAAATGGTGCCTAAGTTTAAACTTTGATTTGCTACAGCTTTGCATTAGAACCGAGCCTCGAAAGAGTTGGCTCACTTGTAGGACCTAGTAGTCTGGGATGGTGACCCTAGACCAGTGGTTCTCAACCTTTGTGAGGCTGTGGCCCAGTACATTATTTCTCTATAAGATGAGGGCCCAGTACTGGGCAACAGCCTGGCGTTTGAGAAATGCTTTCCTAGTAGACCTCATGAGGGTGCCAACCTGTTGCTTGTCTATTCCTGTTGCACTCATGAAACTGTGGTTTATTATCAATGTCTAACTTCCAAGGGAGAAAGTGTGTACTTCAAGAGTCATCTAATCCTTGTTTTGCTTGTGGAATTCAGTTCCATGAGGAAAATATGTGTTAATATCAGTAAATTGTATTAATTCCAATCCCACCAAAAGTTGGGTAGTTTCCAAGTATAGTACACTGTTTAGAATTTGTAATTAAATACAAGGATGTTGCTGTCAGCTTTATTTTAGTGTAACTGTGATTTAGGTGAGTGGATCAGAGGATGAAGATGGATCACCAGATGGCAGCAGTGTATTAGTCCTTCAGCAGGAGGAGGGATTGATGGATGCAGCCTGCATGTTTCAGTGGTTACAACAAATTTGGTTCAAGTAAGATGAATAGAAATGGCTGTTGTGCCTCCTCATTTGGTATCACAACTTGAAGGTTACAAAATCCTGAAAAATCTATAATGTTGTCTGAAATATAACATAAAATCTATGTCTTCTTCTTCTTCTTCTGTTTTCTTTCTTCTCATCAGTTTTCTTCTATATTACACCTGATTCAGGTCTTGGCCTCCATCAATTATACATACATTTTCTCAAGCAGTGATTGTGAGCTGCTTACTGAATAATACAAAGAACCCAGATGCATTTGTATTTAAGTCTTAATCTGATATAGGATTATACATTTTATGCATATTCTTGAGAAACTGAACACCTCAATATCCTTTGACACATCAAACAATTGAAACCTATATTTTTGGAACGTCCATATCTACATCTTACATAAGTATTAATGTGGTCATAACAAATTTTGTTCATGAATGAAATCAAATAAATTATTGTAATTTAATTTTAATGTATGAAAGATGGGTTATAATGTGCCCTTGTACCAGAGTGACAGGAGGTGAGAGTGAATGTGCAGGGAGTGTATTTCTCTTTTGCAGACATGTGCAGACCCCTAATCTCCTTCTGTTAGATTGCTACGAGCCACACACTGGTGAAAGTGTTGTGGCTGAGTTCTCTAGTCACCAGAGTAATAGACTCTTAATTCCGGGTGGATGCACCTCAAAACTCCAGCCACTTGATGTTAGTTTGAAGAGAATGTTTCATGTAAGTGAATATATACCTTTCAGCCTGCTGCAGTGTTTGAATTCTTGATTAAATGCAGTATAAATTTTAAACCTCCAGAAGTTAGAATATTCATAATATTTGAATAGGTTTTTGAATAGGAGAATGCATGTTGAGCTTGCATGTAAGTTTTGAATGAGTTGGCTGCTAGGAAGGTGATGCTTGTGGATTCTTGGAAGATGGAGACAAGATTAATACAAGGTGGTTCAAATATGACTGGGACTGATTTTTTTTAAAACCATAATTGCCAAACACTTACTTGCACATGTCAGTCTTCAACTTCCAAAGTCAACGCATTTTTCTACCATTCTGGAAGCATCCTGATGCCCTTTTCAAAAAAGGCTTGTGATTGGCAGCGTATCCACTCCCGAATAGTCTGGATGATGGTATCGTCCACAAACCGCATGCCTTGCAAGTCTGATTTGAGCCTTCCGAACAGGTATAAATCACTTTGGACAAAATCGGGACTGTACAGCGGATGTGTCAGAAGGTTCCATTTCAATTTCCAGAGGGTTTCCATTGTTGTTTTGGCCGTATGGGGTCATGCATTGTCTTGAAGGAAGGCTACCCACTTTCCACCTGTTTTCCGCTTGGATCGGATCTTTTCCTTCACGTCTGTTGCCAGGAGGTCTGAGTAATAAGCTGCATTGACTGTTCTGGCATCTGTCAGAAAGTCTACAGTCTGCCAGTCCCAGAAGAATGTTGCCATCACTTTTCCTGCCAAATGGCTCCTCCGTGCTCTCTTGGGTTTGGGAGAACTGGTATGCCGCCACTCGCGTGATGACTGCTGGGACTCGGGAATGAAGTAGTGCACCCACGTTTCATCAGTGGTCACTATAGACTTCAAAAATGCATCGCCTTCATCTTCAAACTGCTGTAGGAGACAACTGGCAGCTTGCATGCACACCATTTTGTTCACGTCCGTCAAAGTATGTGGTACCCACCATGCATTCACCTTGTGATAGTGCAGGTGGTATTTCACAATGTCTTCTACACTACCAGCACTGATGGACAACATTGCTCCAAGTTCCTTGATAGTGATGTGCCTATTCTCACGAATAAGTGCATCTGCACGATCAGTGTTTGGTTCGGTGACGGATGTTTGCGGCCGATGATCATGTGGTTCATTCTCCACGCACTCTGCCCTCTCTGAAGGACTTACACTACTCAAACACATGGGTCCGTGAGAGACATTCTTCCCCATACTGTTGTTGGAGTCTGTGGTGAATTTCAATGGATGGGACATTTTCTCCAACGAGGAATTTGATCACAATGTGTTGTTCCATGCTCCCCGGTACCTTCTGTTCGCTCATCATTCTAGCAACTCCCAGACAGGACTGAACAGGTTCTAACCCGAACAGGAGGAAGGGTGGAGGTTGTGGCTTCACTCTCTCAAGGTCACACAGCTGCTGCGCAGTGAGGCTTGTTTACACACAGATCAGTCTGGTTATATTTGAACCACCTTGTACTTTGCAACGAAGGTTCCAGAAAAGTTGATTGACAGTAGATTTCTCGGACATAGGGATGCTTGTTAAGGCCATTTGGTGTAAAATGGAAAACTTATCAACTGCATCAGATATTTACAATATTATGAAATTAAATGACTGAATTAAGTTCTGTGTGTGTATTCATGCATCTGCATTTTTTTCATATTTATTTGTGTTGACTGCCTGACTGACTATCCCACGTCTGTAGGAGAAGCAGTGTTCTGTTAGAAAGAAAAGTATTATAACTTGTGAACTAAGCAGTAGATGTCATACAGACTGAATGTAGAGGAATATTAAAGAAACGCTTAATTCTGTTAACACTATAACAACTTCATCATCACTGTTACTAAAACATAACCTGTTTCTTTTATTGTTTGTGGGTGAGGTCCCATTGTCATGGAAGAGTATGGCAGGGCTAAAGGTTAATTTTTATACATCTCTGTCTGCCCTTATGTTCCATTTGGGGGAGGGATATTTTTGGAACTGTTAATNAGCTTTTAAGAAAAATAACGGGAGAATATCGATGGATGACGTAAATGCGAGTACAGTTCTCTCTAAATTATAGTAAACTAACATTGACTGTCATACAAAACATTTAAACAAATGTGATACTCACTGAAAAAAAAAAATCTTTAAAAATACATTGCCGCGGTTGAGCCGCAAAGCGGTTAAACAGCGCGCGGATAATCGAGAGTTTACTGTAATTTAAAAACTTGTTTAACTTAACACCTCCTGGGATGCATTAATGTGTTGTGAATACATGCCCCAGGTCTGAATAGGATGCAATAGTATGACCATCATACTGAGTATGTTAATTTAACACATTAAAAAGTATGTTAAATATGGAAATATTCAACAAATTTCCCTTTAAATTTTACATTCTCTAATATCAGTTGCTGACGTATGCAGGAGCGCTACAATTTAAGAAAATAGAAATGAAACTGTAGATACTGATGTTAAGAGACTTGAAGCTGAAAGTACAAAAAAAACATTTCATTAAACAAATTACACAGTTCTTGAGATGGTCTGGGAAGTTTAAATTTAAAGAGAACTGTTCACTAAGAATGAATTAAGCCAGGTTCCAGTATAGGAAAAATGCTAATTTACTTTCTCCCAGCCCTGTGGAGCAAGGATGTTAGATTTATCTTATGACATAGTACAGGATATGCTTCAGATGTTCATAGTTACTTGGCTGATGAAGAAATTCTCCCTCTTAGGAAACCCATTGTTTGTCATTATATTACAAAAACCCTCATTTAGGCCATATTCAAAACCAGTTAATCATGTCACATCCTATTTCTCAAAAATCCATTTTAATATCATCCAACCATCTACACATAAATTTTCCAGATGATCTTTTTCTTGAGGTTTTTATTCCAAAATTTTGTATACATTTCTGACTTCATCCATGCCTACTTCAGCCCCCCAACTCTTTGCCCATAAATACCCTCAGTTTCATTCTTTCCTGCTGACATTAAAATGAAATGATTGTGTTAATAATTTGTTCTTTGTAGCAGGAGTACACTTGTATATTCATTTAGAAATTTTAAAATTACCGGTTTACGAATGGCATGTGTCTGGCTCTGTTTGCTTTTCATCAGGCATCCATACAGAAGCAGTGGTCCATGTTCAACTCTCATTTAAGTGGAATGTGGGATGCCACTGGAAACAAGTTGCAGCTGCCAGGTTGCAGGGAGATTGTAGACTGGGTGACCACTGCATACCGTAGTTTGCAGGCTACAGAGCAGGTTTGTATCACGCTGAATTCTTCAGCTTAGGAATCATATTCATTTGTTCTTATCTCATATTGCCAGAAGGCTGTAAAGGGTCTTTGAACATGCAGAACTCCTTCCTGCTGCAGAGGCTGTGCAGGGTCACTGTAATCTTATATGTCAGTGCTTAGAGATTGAATTTGTATGCCATGTAATGTCTATGCATGAGTAGTGATTGCACAGTCATATAGAATACTTGGCTTTCTGAACTTTCTGTTTCTTGTTTTTGCACACAGTTGTTTCTTATAAGCATTTTTCAGTTTTATTAAAATAAATAAAAAAGCATATAAAAGAATGAACCATTCACCAGAAATTTTGAAAGTCCTATTTTAGACTAATTTTAATTTTTGCTATTTTGGGAGACAAGGCTGGAGAAATTAGTATCTAGGTAGCGTATTTTGAACCTAGTTCAACGTGAACCTTGTGTTTCATAGTCAGGTAGTAGTAATGGCATAGTTTGTGAGAAAAAATGACAGTGGAGAGAGTACTGTTGATGTAAGTTAAAAGTAACATAATCCTTCCATAGGTTCTTAATTTTGATTTGATGAAAATTCAAGGCTTTGATCTAGGTAGCATGTAAATTTTTACTGACTGTAAGTCCAAGGGAATTGATACAACCCTGTATAAAATAATTATGATAAGCCAAAAAACATTGGAAAGCATCACGATGTCAAGAATAAAGATTTGTCCAAAGAGTCAGGTATTGTCATTAAGGATTTAGAGAACTTAAAATCTGCATTCTCCAACATTATCCCCCCCAGTAATAACAATATAATTTATAATAAAACTTTGAGGTAATTATTCTGTGGGCTGACACATAAATTAAAACAAAAATAATAGCACTGTTCATGCAATTGAAATTAATAAGTGAGGCAGTGAATATTCAACTTTCAGTCACCAAGTGAGTTATGCACTTTTATACATGACCAATTAAATCTCAGTATACAGTAAACTCCTCATTATCCAGCATGTATGTGGAATGGGGTGTGCCAGTTGCATGAGAAAACTCTTAGAAAAACCAAATACAAAGTCAGAACATATTTTCACTTTACAAGTATTGTGTTTTTGGACATTATCCATCGTCTTGTCTATTTTTTAAAAACCATCCTGTTTCTTTTTTAAAATAACATTTCAGAGACTGAATTCTGTCACCATCCTCAGGTAAAACATACTCAGTTGGGTCCAATAGATAGAGCTAGTCCCTATCTCCGGAGATAGGGGAGGTGACGGAGGTGACCTGAGGACGGTGACAGAATCCAGTCTCCAAAACATTGTTTTAAAAAAGAAACAGGACAGATTTTTAAAAAATAGACAAGACGATGCATACTGTCCAGAAACATAATATTTGTAAGAATATACCATCGTCACAAACTTTTAGATCTTGTATTTTCACTTTATTTCTTGTATGGGGGTCTTCATAGGGAACATAGTGGATTGGTGTGTGAAAGATTTTAGATGCATATTCTGTGACACAATCAGAAATTCAGCTAGTCCCTATTGTAATGGCACATGCGTGAGAGAAGACGATAATGGGTTGTACTGCTAGTGGTGGCTGGGAGAACTGCTGCCTGTTGGGTGTACTGCATCACATATTTGTTTTTGGAATAACTTTATGGAAGTGACAAATTTTCTGGGACAGTTTTGATGGTTGGATGAGAATTATGGATGTTTGTATACCAGATAACAGGGCGTTTACACAGGTGCATATGCCTGCACTCTCTTTCTCTCTAAATAAGAAGTGTAAGTCAAAATAACTGTCATTGAAATGGATTATTATTTGTATCATCAATGGGAGCACAAATGTAAGTTGATTTCTGTTGTCCATCAGTGGGTGTGCTGTGTTAACTTTTTTTTTTAGAAACAGATTACAGTTATATTTTGATAATTGAAAACTTTTTTATCTGTTTGACAACAGTATGCACACAAAGTTTTCCATGTGCATAATTTGAACTTTTCATTGGTCACATGAATCAGATGTTTGAGCAATACCATGCAAGCCTATCCAACAAGAATTGTCACTGTTGGATTAATTTGCAGCTCACTTGTTGGTATTGTGTGGTAATCAGAAACATGAACTTTTGTTACACAAGTGGGATGAAGAAAAATTAGTCATAAGACAATCTGTCCTCCCCACTTCTTACAATTAGCTATCACTTTATAGTAAGTCTTCATTATCCATGTGACTTTTAGATTCCCTATTCACAGAGTGGGGAGTGGAGTCCAGTTGGGTCCACTCGCCATGTCAGTTTAGACCCCCTAAGTTATTGATATAAACTTTTCATGATTTAAGTGTTGCACATGACATCTATTTGAGTAATATGTGTAACACACTTTACAGCAATTTACATTTAACGTATTGCAACTTTACATTTTATAAGTTTATTGCATTTTACCCCAATGTACTCCACTAAATAGTGATTTTTTTTGTATGTTAGAAAGATATTTGTCTCACTGTTTAATGCCCATTTACACAACTAGTAATAATGCAGTGATTTCCAGATTTTTTTTAATTCACTGTTTTTAATTGTCCACATTAACTGCAGACAGCCATGAGTGCCCTGAAGTGTACAATTAAAGCAGTATGAGATGCTACAAAAACAAGACTTTTAGTTTACTTTGTTTTGTAGGAAACTGTGCGTAGAAGTTTTCTGGTCACCGGTCTTACAGTGGCTGCTAATAGAAATGATGATCACACAATGGAGAATCTATCAATGGTTCCAAGAGCCAATAAGAGTGCATAGCTCTTAGCAGAGCATTATCTGGTAAGTTTTGTATGCTGTGTAGAAGTTACATGCAAAAATAACCTCATGTAATGAAATCCAGTGGGTCAAAATGTTTATCCTACAGTCCTTATTTTACAAGTTGTTTAATTGTGTGGCATTGCAGGCCTTATTACAAGGCCTCTGCTACAAAGGACAACACAGTCACAGAAAGAATGCAGACATATACCCATGATCCCAATTTTAGAGCAGCAGAAGACAATACATAAAAATCAATTTATATATTAACATGTACAACAGTCTGGCAGGTGCACACAATGTGTTAATTTTCCATTTGATGATAACTGTTGCATTTAATATCTGATGTTGATCATAAACATACCTCTACAAGTTTTCAATGAAACCCAATTTTATGTGCGCCAGATATGGCAAATTATGTATATATATTATAAATTGTATATTTATAATTTCTGATAACATCTCTGTATACATGAAAGCATTTAAAGGAAAGTAGAAAGGTAAAGTGTTCCTTGTGCTTAACAAGGTGTATAGGGGAGTGGATGTATAGATCGACATATTTAAAGGAAAGTAGGTGCCATAATTTCTGTCCATATCTTATTTACATTTCTGTGAGAGCTGTCTGTATACATAAGCAGTTTGGAAGAAAAGGTCTATAAGCCAGTGAAAATTAATTTCTGGCTTACATTTTCTGTAGTATAAAATGTGTACTATTTGGATACAGAACTGTATAACATCATGAATGTGTTTGCCCCTTATGGCAGTTGGCATCCTTTCTTCTTGCATGATTGAACAATTGTAGTGTCATCCTGTTTCAGAATGAAAGAAGAAAGATATGCTTCAGCCTTTGCTTTCATTCTGCCAATCCATCATCCATTGTTTGGTGTTTTGAAGTGAATGGGAGTAAGGGGCAAACCCAAGTTAATCCTCTTACACGGGAAGAGGTGCCATCTTACTTATGGAGGTGAGCCCTTCTTGAGGAGCCACCAAATCTGCAATTACTCAATTTCCCAGCATTTTATGGAACCCAAAGGTTCATTACCATGTTCATAAGAGCCCTCCACTGGTCCCTATCTGTAGCCAGACCAATCCAATCCATACCATCCTGTCTAAGATCCATTTTAATATTGTCCTCCCACCTACACCTTGTTCTTCCAAGTGGTGTCTTTCCCACCAATATCCTATATGCATTCCTCTTCTCCCCCATTCGTGCTACATGGCCTGGCCACCTCATCATCCTCGACTTGATCATTCTAATTATACTTGGAGAAGAGTACAAATTATGAAGCTCCTCATTATACAGTTTTCTCCTACCTCCTGTCACTTCCTCTCTCTTCAGTTCAAATATGCTCCTTAACACCCTCAGTCTATGTTCCTCCCTTAATGTCAGAGACCAAGTTTCACACCCATACAGAACCACAGGCAAAATTATAGTTTTGTATTTTTGTTTTTGGACAGCAGACGAGAAGACAAAAGGTACTGGACTGAATGGTAGCAAGCATTACCTGAGTTAAATATGCTCTTAATTTCCTCTTTGAAGAGGTACAATAACTTGTGTTATTTTGTGACAGTTTTACACACTTCTTTTGCAAGATTATTATTAATGTCATGCCTTCCAATAAAATCTCAAATTCAATGAGATGAAATGAATATGATGGTGAGAATTATTGATAAATATAATGTCAGTTTTGTTCTTCCTGGTGATAATTTCTTATGGACTGTTTTTTTTTGTATAATCCAGATTTTATTGCACAAACACAAAACATTTTATTTATGAAAACAAAGTGTGGCTAAGAGCACTTTACCTTTGAGCAGTTGATATGTTCAACATGAAATCCAATGGTTGTATGAGTGTAACATGACAAACAGCCATTTGAGCTAAAATTGGAGTATCCTGGTGACAAATGCTTAAAATTCATATTTACCATGTGTCTGACACTGATTATTTATTAAATATACTATATTATCATGAAAAGCTTTGGTTGTGTTTGGAACTCATTTTTTGACCTATAACTGTTGCCATGTGCTTGTTTTTTTCCTTATTCCCATATCACTTATGTTCCTACATCAGTACATTCTTAATATTGCCCGACTAAATTTTCTATTATATTATCACAGTAAAATCTTTTGAGAATCTTACTTACTTACTTACTTACTTACTCACTCATGGAGCTGAGCCCTTCTGGAGGAGCTGCCAATGCTGCAGCTACTCAAGAATTTCCCAGCATTTTATGGAACCCGAAGGTTCATTACCGTGTTCACAAGAGCCCTCCACTGGTCCCTATCCTGAGCCAGATCTGTCCAATCCATACCATCCCATCCTCTCTAAGATCCATTTTAATATTTTCCACCCACCTACGCCTTGGTCTTCCCAGTGGTCTCTTTACCACCAATATCCTATATGCATTCCTTGTCTCCCCCATTCGTGCTACATGACCTGCCCACCTCATCCTCCTTGACTTCATCATTCTAATTATACTTGGAGAAGAGTATAATCTAGTAATCTAGATCTAGTAGAATCTAGTAATGTAAAAATGTTCAAGTTGGTAATAGTGATCTATATTCATTTGTTTTTGTTTTGTATTATAATGAAAAGTTTCTTCTCATCCAATATGACTGTTAAGTGATATGTAAGCACAACAAAAAAGAAAATCAACAGGTTATGGGCCCAGATTTGCTCAAAAACTAAAAAAAGGAAAGAAGAATAATGAGAAAATGGCAACCACAGAGACAGAAGAGGTAACTCATCTGCCAAAACTGAAGGATGCCAACTCATTTCCATTGTGACATTTTGAAATCAAGATTCTGATGCATGCAAAAGAATTGATAAACATCGTTGATGGCAGCAATCTGTTAAGTGACCAAGGAAGAGACGAAGAAAATATAAGGAAATGGAAGATGTGAGGTGCAAAGTGCCAATACTACATAGTGAGAATGATAGAGAAACATGTGAAGACCCACATTGTGACATGCACAACCGCGAAAGAAATGTACGACACCTTGAAGCAAATTTATAAGCGTGACACCTCTCAACAGAAGTGCCTTCTGCTACAAGACTTCTACAACTTCAAGTATGACAAAACTAAGGATATGATGATGAATATAAGTCATGTGCAGAACATTGCCTTCAAGCTTCATCAACTGAACCAAAACGTTGATGAAAACATGATCATGACAAAAATAACAATTCTACCAGAAGACTACAAACACTTAGGCACCGCCTGGGACTCAACGGCGACCGTGGACAGAACCCTTGACAACCTGGTGGCCAGATTGTTGTTGGAAGAAGTGAAGTGCAAGATGACGACTAAAGAAGAGGAAAGCATAGCTTTTAAGACAGTAACTAAAACCAAAAGTAAAAACCCTTTCAAGTGTTTCAATTGTAATCAAATAGGTCATGCCCAGATCAACTGCCCCAACAAAGGTAAGAGAAATTGCTCTATTTGTAAAAGGAATAATCCCTCTGAAAAGGACTGTTACTTTAGAAACAAGGACAGTGATATGAGAAAACAATGTACAGTATGTAAGAAAATGAACCATGCTGAAAAGGACTGTTATTTTAAAGATAGGAATAAAAGAAGCAATGTCAGTTTTCCAGCTGAAGCAGCAGAAACCCATGTGAGTGATTCAAGTGAAAAAGACAAAATGTATTAGTGGATAGTGATAGCACATGTCATATGACAAATGTGAAGACTGATTTGATACAGACTAAGCAGTATACTCAATGTATAAAGGTAGCAAAGAAAAATCAAAGTATGACTGTAAAAGAAATAGGCAATTTGGAATTTAAAGAGAGTAGTTTGAAAAAGATCTCATATGTTCCAAAACTCAGCAAAAACCTGTCAGTGCACTGTATTACAGAAAATGATGGAGAAGTGTTGTTTACAAAAGAGAAAGTCCAGATACTCGAGGACAAAAATGTTGTAATCGAAGGAAAAAAGGATTAAAATGGATTGTTTGTAATTAACGTTAGCACGATGAATGAAGCTATGATGACTCAGCAAGATATAAGTGTAGAGTGGCGTAGAAAGCTAAGTCACATAAGTTATGCGAATCTTAGGAAACTACAAAAGATATGCCAAGGGATACCAGAAAGTGTAAAAAATTTTATATATGTTCAGTTTGTATGCAGGCCAAACAAGTGAGATTCCCATCTGATACAGAAAGAAGTAGGGCTGGAAAGCCATTAGAGATAATTCATAGTGATGTGTGTGGACCAATTGATCCCACCACTTATGACAATAAGAAATATTTCCTTACGTGTGTGGATGACTATGCATTTTTGTAAGATATACCTGTTGGAAAATAAGAGTGAAGTGTATACCTTTCTGAAGGAATATGTAAATGAAGCTGAGTGTCACTTCAATACAAGAGTGAGAAGAATAAAATGCGACAATGGGGGGGAATATAAGAGCAACGCCTTGAGAGAATGGTGTAAGAACAAGGGTATTGTAATGGAATTACTACACCATATTCACCACAGCTAAACAGCACTGCTGAAAGGATGAACCTTACCATTGTGGAAAAGGCATGAGCATTGATTTTTGACTCAGGTTTAAGTAAGAGAATGTGGGGTGAAGCTGTACTCACTTCTGCGTACCTGCTAAACAGAAGTCCAACAGTGACAGTGAATGGAATGCCAGCGGAAAATTGGTATGGTAAAAGAACAGATCTGGCTGGATTGAAGATTTTTGTTTCAGAAGTGTACGCTAAAATTCTTGGACAACTGAAAAAGTTGCACAGTAGTAGCAAGAAAGGAATATTCGTTGGATACAGCACAAATGGCTACAGAATATGGGATCCAAATACTGAAAGGACCTATGTCTCCAGAGATGTGACATTCACAAGTGTACCTGTGACAACAAATAAACAAAAGGAAATGGAAAGAGTGGCGGATCCAGAAGACAAGCCAAATACTCCAGATCAGGAAGATAGCGAAATGCAGCAAGAACCTGAAGCTAACAACAATGAAGAAGAACCAACAGATACTGAAGAGGATGAAGAAAATGAAAATGCTGACCACAAGGATAATGGAAGGAAAAACAATGGACAGAACGAACAAGGATATGCATTGAGACCAAGAAGAAACATTCAAATGCACCAAAAGTACCGAGACTATCACACAGAGAGTCAAAAGGAGGGTATGCTCACCTATACATATGACGAGTGCATGGAGAGCGAAGACAGCGAGAAGTGGAAAAAGCCATTAAAAGAGGAAAACGATTCGCTCTACTAAAACAAAACTTGGATATATGTAAACAGAGAGGAAGCAATGGGCAAGAAAATTCTGACCAGTAAATGGGTTTTCAAAATAAAGGATGATGGAAGACACAAACCCAGACTGGTTGTGAGAGAATGCCAACAAAAGGAAGGGGAAATAGATTTCAAGGATACCTTTAGCCCAGTTGTTGACATGAATTCTCCTAGAGTACTGTTTGCCATAGCAGCATGTAAGAATACAAACATGCAAACCTTTGATGTGAAGACTGCCTTCCTGTATGGAGACCTTGAGGAGGTAAAGTACATGGAGATACCAGAAGGATACAAGAACACTGGCAAGATATATCTCCTGAAAAAGGCATTGTATGGCCCAAGACAAGCACCATCACAATGGAACAAGAAGTTGACAACCTCTCTAAAAGAAAAAGGTCTAAACCAACTAAAATCTGACAATGCATTTTTAAGAATGATGCCAATAGTTTGTTCATGGCCATTCACGTGGATAACAGGATAATCATGGGAGAGGATGAAAGACAAATAGAGGAAAATTTGCCGAAACTGGAAAATCAATTCCATATAACATAGACCACAAATCCAAAAGTCTATTTAGGAATACAAATTGAGAGGCAACCAGATGGGATACATATCTCTCAAACCAACTATGCAAACCAAATGTTGGAAAAATACACCATGCAAGAAAGTCGAGAAATGAAAACACCCATGGCCACGACCCCACCAACAAATGACGAAGGAGAAAATGACATAAGATTTCCTTACAGAGAAGCTGTAGGAAGCCTGCTATATGACTTCT